AAGTGTGAAAAACGATCACAAGTCACTTTTCTCAGTGCCGTTTTAACTTTGAACGTCGCTATATGAAACTGTTGTTAAATCGAGGACTACCTGTCCCTGTAGATCTCATTTAGTACATCAGAACGATTGAATTCTTCAAATGCAAAATAGCCAAGCGGCCAACGATGCATCTGTTTCTTTTCTGGACTTGAAGACAAGGCTGGACTTTTCCGGGTTTTTTTACAGAAACGTTGCAATCAGCTATTTTTGAACGCTTAGGTATGTCTCCCCTGCTAAATTTGGTCAAACCGTCTTTACAACCGTTGGAAGGCTCTGCCAGGAGCCATGTGAATCATCATTCATAAAGTCAGAGGCGGGGAGAAGAGGGAAGCCCTAAAGGAAGTTGGATGCTTTGCAACGCCAGCAAGTAGAAACCCAAATTGAAGCTGGTTTAAATGTTTTGACAGCAAACCCCCCTCGCCAAACACACACACACACACACACAGAGAGTTTTGGCAAACGAGCAAGCAAGTGAAGAAGAGAAGAAAGGATGGAGACTTCCTCCCAATGTCCGTTGTTGTTGTTTTTTTTTAAGCAGTGAGTTTGGTTGAGTGAGTTGGGGGAATAGCTTTCGGGTGCTTTCCTGGTCCCCTCGCATTTGCATTCATTTTAATTGGATTTGGAACCAAGGATACCAACCGCTGGGGATGCCCTGGACCATAAAACAAAGACACAAAGAAATCACCTTTGGAGAGGGGGAAGGTGAGGAGGCAGTGGAGAAAGAACAGGATAGCGGGGAATAGCAAACATCCCACAAAACAAGCAGACTCCTATACTTAAAATCTGCAACCCCTGGATACATCCGACTGCAGCTGCCATTATCCCAGCCCAGAGAAAACTGTTTTGCTTCAGACAACCTTTGTGGATAGAGTTTTAGCCCCCTTTATTCATTCATTCATTCGTTCATTCATTCTCTCTCTCTCTCTCTCTCTCTCTCTCTAAGTTGCCTGTACTTCCAGGACTGTAGACATCCAAGGAGAAAACTGTACTGTAGCTTTATAGGAGTCTGAGCCCCTTTAAGCCAAAATTTACCCAGATCGCTGCCATCTGGAAAGCTAGTTATTTTAGAGGGGGTGGATGGAGGTGGGGGGGAAGAGGGATGCTCTCTCCTTTCTGATAGGGAATTTTATCCAAGTTGGAAGGGGATGGAAGTGGAGGGCTCTGGAGACTCCTTCTGCTAAAATCATTAACCGGAGGAAACGCTATACTGTGCTGTATATGATATTTTTACCTTGTGCCTACAACACCAAGCAGTGCTGAAGGAGCAGGGAAGCTGCAGAGTTTATGCAGCTCCCCCTGGTTTCTCCGTTGCTCTCCTGCGGAGGAAATCGGGGTTTTCTTACCCTCGTCTTGGTGGGTTGATGATGTATATACACGTTACATGACATTACATGTCCAGCGCATGTCATCATTTATAGATCTGATAGTCTAGACACGCAGTATTTAGGGGCACTCCAAAGAGTGCATTCACACAACACGCTTGACCTGGTTATAGGAAGAACAGCCAGCCTGCTGTAAAAGCTGCATAAACACAACCAAGGTGAGCCATGGAAGCCACATAAACCCAACCAAGGTGAGAGATGGAAGCCACATAAACCCAACCAAGGTGAGCCATGGAAGCCACATAAACCCAACCAAGGTGAGAGATGGAAGCCACATAAACCCAACCAAGGTGAGAGATGGAAGCCACATAAACCCAACCAAGGTGAGAGATGGAAGCCACATAAACCCAACCAAGGTGAACCATGGAAGCCACATAAACCCAACCAAGGTGAACCATGGAAGCCACATAAACCCAACCAAGGTGAGAGATGGAAGCCACATAAACCCAACCAAGGTGAACCATGGAAGCCACATAAACCCAACCAAGGTGAGAGATGGAAGCCACATAAACCCAACCAAGGTGAGAGATGGAAGCCACATAAACCCAACCAAGGTGAACCATGGAAGCCACATAAACCCAACCAAGGTGAGAGATGGAAGCCACATAAACCCAACCAAGGTGAGAGATGGAAGCCACATAAACCCAACCAAGGTGAACCATGGAAGCCACATAAACCCAACCAAGGTGAGAGATGGAAGCCACATAAACCCAACCAAGGTAAGCCATAGAAGCTACATAAACCCAACCAAGGTGAACCATGGAAGCTACATAAACCCAACCAAGGTGAGCCATGGAAGCTACATAAACCCAACCAAGGTGAGAGATGGAAGCTACATAAACCCAACCAAGGTAAGCCATGGAAGCCACATAAACCCAACCAAGGTGAGCCATGGAAGCCACATAAGCCCAACCAAGAACAACCCAAACCACATAAACCCAACCAAGGAGAACAACCTCAATCCACGTACACCCAACCAAGATTAACATCTCCCAGGCTTGTAGGTTGTGAGATCACTCACCCCTAGTTCTTTCTGCGACTTGGGTAAGCGAACTAGACCAACCCCTCCAGAGTCACATTTACTTAAAAGAGTTAAAATACACCCAATTTTACCGACTGCCAAAGGAAGGGATTTTTGGGGAGGGTGGGAATGAAAAACCTTCCTAACTCTGCAGAAGCTGCCCTGACCTGCATCTTAAAAAGGATGGAGAAAAGGCCTCCTTTGGTTGGTTGGGGCGGAAGGGTGGCAAGCACTCTGCACCTGCTCAGGAACCCTGCTGTCTAGTAGGAGGTTACAAAAGCCTTCCCTTTCAAATCAAAGCCCGATCCCGGGAGCTTTTTTCTCAACCTTGCCCTCCTCCCCCACCAAACTTAATCATGCCCCCCCCCCTCCACAGGACAGGAGGCACCGGATCCTAATTATCAACGGTGCACCGGCGGGAAGGGACTAAAAAAAAAAATAAATGGGGAAAAAATCCGAATTGTTAATCAAGGGAGCTCCGGTTACAGTCGCCGCTGCGAGCTTTTTTTTTTCTTTCCTTTTTTTCCCTTCGCGCTACTCCCGCAAGGGAATTTTCCGGTAAATGAACATTGCTTTCGCTCTCCGGCGGGAGCTCGCAGCCGTCTGACTCTTCCACGCACCTCCGCATCCCCGGGGGAAACCCATCCACCCCCCCACCCCCATCTCCCGCCTCTCTTCCCCAGCCCCAGCCGCGCAAGGTAGCCAAGCCGCCGTTGTTGGCTCGTCCGCTGGCCAAGCAAGCCAGCCCGCCCGCCGCAGGGATTTGCCACCGTGGGAATCGGCTACCACTCCGTCCCGACCCCCCCCCCCCCCCCCCCCCCCCCAATTTGCCCGTGCTTTCTTTTTATTTTTTTGCATGCCTTGAGAAGCACGGAGGGGGAGGGGAAAAAGAGAGAGGAGAAGAAGACAGCGGGAGGCAGAAGACACACACGCTCTCTTTCTCCTGCAAAGCCCCAGCGCCCGGGGCTGGACGCGTTGGCTAACCCAGCAGGCGAAAAGGAAGCCCCTTCGTATCATCTCTCTCTTCTCTCTTTCTTCCCGGTTCCTTCTTCTCTTTCTCTCTCTCTCTCCCCGGTTCCTTCCTCTCCCTCCTTTTCTCTCTCTCTCTCTTTTTTTTCCCGGTTCCTTCCTCTCCCTCTCTCTCTCTCTCTTCCCGGTTCCTTCCTCTCTCTCTCTCTCTTCCCGGTTCCTTCTTCTCTCTCTCTCTCTCTCTCTCTCTCTCTTCCCGGTTCCTTCCTCTCTCTCTCTCTCTCTTCCCGGTTCCTTCTTCTCTCTCTCTCTCTCTCTCTTCCCGGTTCCTTCCTCTCTCTCTCTCTTCCCGGTTCCTTCTTCTCTCTCTCTCTCTCTCTCTCTTCCCGGTTCCTTCCTCTCTCTCTCTCTCTCTCTCTCTTCCCGGTTCCTTCTTCTCTCTCTCTCTCTCTCTCTCTCTCTTCCCGGTTCCTTCTTCTCTCTCTCTCTCTCTCTCTCTCTTTTCCCGGTTCCTTCCTCTCCCTCTCTCTCTCTCTCTTCCCGGTTCCTTCCTCTCTCTCTCTCTCTTCCCGGTTCCTTCTTCTCTCTCTCTCTCTCTCTCTCTCTTTTCCCGGTTCCTTCCTCTCCCTCTCTCTCTTCCCGGTTCCTTCTTCTCCCTCTCTCTCTTCCCGGTTCCTTCTTCTCCCTCTCTCTCTCTCTCTCTCGCTCCTACCGAAATACAGTCCAGCTTCCAGGACACGCGCGATCCGCCGCCACCGCTTTTGCACCTTGCAATCCAATGCAATGCAAAAAAAAAAGAAAGACAAGAAAAACCGCGGGGGCATCCGGTTCTTTTGCAAAAAACAGCGCGCGTGCAAAAAGGAAAGCAAGCCAGCCCGGCAACCTGCTAGTAGTCCAAACTATTCAGTGCTGCTTATTGAGACCGTGTGTGTGTGTGAACAGAGGGGGGGGGGGAGAGCCGCGACAAGAGAGGAGACGTCTTGGGGAACCGCGCAAGAACTTTTTTCTTCTTCCGATGACCCATCGTTCTTCTTACAAGTTGGCAAAAGGAAAAAAACAGAACTAAAATAATAACAGCCCAGCTCGGTTCCCCTCTGCGCTCCACTCCACCACTTACAAACGCGGTTGATCGGGAAGCTCTCCGGCGCTTCCCACGCTCGCTAGCCCGGCGGCTTTTTTGTTTCCCCCCCCCCCTCCACCGACCCGCGGCAACTTTGCAAAAGACGGCAAAATAAATTAATAATACTAATAATACTAATACTAATACTACTACTAATACTACTACTACTAATAATAATAATAATAAACAATTAATAATAATAGTTAATAATAATAGTTGTTAATAATAATAACAATAATAATTAATATTTTTTTTAAGAAAAGGGAAAAGAGGCAAACTTTGCAAAAAAAAAAAAAAAGGCTTCCTTCGCCCAATTCGCTCCCGCGTCTCCATCCAACCTGCGCGCCCTTTCCGAACCGGCCAAAAAATAAAAAAAAAAAAAAGGAGAGAGATCCACGCCGCGCGTGTTTTCGGCCAACCGCCAAGGAATCCCAACACACCCAAACCCCAAACCATCCAAACAACGCACCCTTCCTTCCAAAGCCGGTGGTGGGATCAGCTCCGGAGCTTGCCAACCGCTTCCTTGCGTAAGGTATCCATGGACCGAAAAGGTGCCAGCCAGGAGGGAAGAAGGAGAAGGAGAAGGAGAAGGAGAAGGAAAGCCGGCAGCCCCAGCGCTGCTTCCTCCTCCTCTGCAGCCGCCGCCGGTGCTGCTGTTTGCTGCGGCTGCGGCTGCTGCTGTTGCAATCACCGCCGCGGCTCTTCCTTCCCCTTCCCGAGGCAACGCGGGACTGGAGCCGCGCGGAGCAGCGCTGGCGGTAGCAACTCCTGACTCAGGGGGCCTCCGAAGGGAGGAGAGAAGGTGGGGGGGGGGGGAAAAAAAGGAAAAAAGGGGGGGGGGGGGGGGGGGCGATTCCCAGCCGGCAACGCTGAACACAGCGCAGCCTACCGGGAGGCGGAGGCAGCCAAGCAGCAGCAGCAGCAGCAGCAACAAGCCGGGGATCGGCGCCGAGGTTTTGCGAACGGAGCCCGGCAAGAGAAAAGAGGCAGAGGAAGAAGGCACGCGTGGCTTCTCGCTCCTGCCGGTCTCCTAACCCGCCCCGATGCACAGCGATGCCGCACAAAGATTCGGACGATCGGCCGCCCTTGTCCGATTGCGGGGGTGGGTGGAGGGGGGGGGATGCCTTGGCTCGCCTGCTGCCGCCGGAGCGCCGGGGAGAAAGGAGGGAAAGGAAAGCTACCCGGAGGAAGGGATCCTCCTTTTTGTTGCCCCCGGGCTCTTTGCTCCTTGGTTTTGGAAGAGCCGACGTTTTATAAAGGGGGGGTTCACACACACATACACACACGCAGACACACATACACACACACACACACACACGCGGGCAGCGGGGCCAGCCTGTAGTTCCGCTGGCCGGGCTGGTGCGGCGCAGCGAGCCCGGGGTCAACGGGGGGGGGGGAGGGGGGGAAGGAGAGAATGATGTAGTTGGGATTGCGGGCTGGAGCCTCGACCTGCGCGCCGTTCTTGGTGTGAAGGTGCGCGATGGGTAGGTAGGTAGGTAGGTAGATCGTTGCCGATCTTTGTGTTGTTGTGTGTGTGTGTGTGTGTGTGTGTTGGAGCGGTGGTTGTGGGTAAAAACCAAGCGGGGGCTGGTTTAACAATTTCAAGGGAAGGGGAAGGGTAACAGTAAGAGAGTTGGAAGGGGACCTTGGAGGTCATCCAGTCCAACCCCCTGCTCACGCAGGGATGCAAACTGCCGAGCTTTCTGATCGATGAGCTCAGCGTCTTAGCCACTGAGCCACCTAGCCAGCAAGGGGGGTAGAGGGAGATAATGCCAAGGGTGGGGGGGGGGGTAGGGGCTTGGGGGGGGTGGAGGGTTGGGGGGGTAATGCCAAGAGGGGGGGGGGTTAGAGGCTTGGGGAGAAGGGATTGGGAGTTTTCTCCATCCCCCCCCTAAACTTTTGCTTTGGTTTAACAATTTCAATCTTAACGATTTTTTTTTTTTTAAAAAGATTAATTTTCTCACTTTACTCTTCGAAACAGCAGGAAATTGCTACTGATTTTCCCACTGTCGTTGCGATAAGGTCTGATTAAATGCAAAACAAGGAGCTTTAATGGGACAAGTATTTCGTTTGTTATTATTCAATTTATATCCTACCTTTGTTATTTTTATTTCTTTATCAAATTATTTATTTTTCTTTATCAAATTATTTATTTTTATTTATTAAAATATTTATTTTTATTTATCAAATTATTTATTTTTATTTATCAAATTATTTATTTTTATTTATTTATTAAATTTTATTTGTTTTTTGTTTTTATTCATTTCTTAAATTTCCCTGCCCTCCATCTCACCAGAAAGCGAGATCTTTATATACATTTCAAGGCACCATACATAATCTCTTGCTTTTTTCCACAACAACAGCAACAACAATCCTGCGAGGTGGTTGGGCTAAGAGAGAGTGACAGGCCTAAAGTCACCCAGCCGCTATTCATGCTAAGGGAGGACTACAACTCCCATTTGCCAGTTTCTAGTTCAGCATCTTAACCGCAGCTTCGCTCTCATCGAGATCCCCACTCTTAATATACAGGTATTTCCCATTTAGTGACCAAACTTACGATGGTTCTGAACAAGGGGACTTCTGGCTATATTTCATCGTTGTGGCCATCACAGCATCCCCATTGTCACATGAACACAAAATCCACGTTGTATTTTCCTTTAGCTGAAGCGCAGGGTGCTTCAGCTAAAGGAAATATAAGGATATTCATGTATTCCCACCTCTTGATATAAGTTCTGTAAGCAATTTACTTCAGAACTCATTATTATTTATTTATTTATTTATTTATTAAATTTATATACCGCCCTATTCCTGAGGGACTCAGGGCGGTGAACAGCGAACGATAAAAATACATGTAATACAAATGTTAAAAAAACCAATTAAAATATACTAAACACTCTGGTCCTAGATAATTCAAGACATCCCAGTTTAAAATAAAATCAAAAGCAATATAAAGGGAAAGTTAGGCCAGGCCGGCCTGCTGAAACAGGAATGTTTTGAGGGCACGGCGGAAAGTGCGCAGATCCGGAATCCTCTGTATCTCTGGGGGGGAGCTCGTTCCAGATGGTGGGTGCCCCCACAGAAAAGGCTCTCCCCCTGGGGGCCGCCAGTCGACACTGTTTGGCTGACAGTACCCTGAGAAGCCCCTCTCTATGGGAGCGTACTGGGCGGTGAAAGGCTATTGGTGGCAGAAGGCGGTCTCATTATACCTGACAGGTGGAGCTGAAAATTATACCTGTGGTTTGGAGAGTTGGCCAGCAATCCAAATACCTCATCTTTCTACATCTTCATTGTCTTGAAGCCTTATGGTAACTTATCTGTGGTTTAATATCTTCCAATCCCATATTGGACAAAAGGGTAACCTGTGGAGCAGGAGACTCCAAGCTTGGCAACTTTTAAGAGTTATGGACTTCCAACGACCTGAATATATGTCCCAAAGGTGCTTTTTCAAGAGGCAACTGGACTTTCTGGTTTTTCTTTGAAGAAGCTTCTCGGATGAGAAGCGAAACGTCTTATAGCACTTATATACTGCTTTACAGTGCTTTACAGCCCTCTCTTAGCGGTTTACAGAGTTAGCATATTGCCCCCAACAATCTGGGTCCTCATTTTACCCACCTCGGAAGGATGGGAGGCTGAGTCAACCTTGAGCCTGGTGAGATTTGAACTGCCAAATTGCAGGCAGCCGGCAGTCAGCAGAAATAGCCTGCAGTACTACACTCTAACCACTGCGCCACTGCGGCTCAAATTTTGGGAGTCCTCCTGTTGAGCACCATTGTCTATCCCCAGTGGCTTCTGCCTGTCCATTAAGAGCCTCTACTTCTAGGAAGGTCATCTACTGGGACTACAGACTTAGTTCTTCTACATTGCTGACTCCTTCTTCTAGAATAAACTTCCCTTAAATTCAAGTTGGTCCTAGACCTTTGGAATTTTAGAAAAGCAATTAAATCTTGAATTTGCCGGTAAATCTTTACAGGTTGGTAGCGTGGAAGAACAGAATTCACCTCTTCCTCCTCTAAACCCGTCATGAGCCAGTGGTGGCGAACCTTTTATTCACCAAGTCCCAAAAATGTCCGTTTTTGCGCGGCTCCCCCCATGCGCTGTGCATGCAACCGCAGCATCTGCGCATGCACGCAGCTTTCGCACGCACTCCCAACGTGCACTGTGCACAACCACCGTCTGCGCATGCACGCAGCTTTTGTGCGTGCGCCTCACCATGCGCTGCGCATGCAATCACTCCATCTGCACATGCATGTGGTTTTCGCTCCTGCAGTGTATGTGCACGAACGCTGTCTGCGCATGTGCACGCTATGCACCAATACTGTCATACACATGTGCAAATGCATGCGCATGCACAGGAGAGCTCCGAAGACCATCTGGGTCCCCTGAATTGCATGCATGCACACCAGAGGCCTGATCACCAGCTGGGGCACGCACACATGCGCAGCTGCAGGTGAGTTGGGCGGCAGCTCGCGTGCCCGGAAAAATGGCTCTGCGTGCCACTTCCGGCACGCATGCCACAGGTTCGCCATCATGGATCTAATCTAATTTCAAACTTCAAAATTAGATTAGACCATGCCTGGCTCCGTAGAGGGTTATTTTAAAACATCATCATCATCATCATCCTAAATAATAAAAATAAACCTATATTATTATTATATACTTTATTCATTAAACATGAAACTGTTTGGTTGACTGAGTTTCATGTTTAATGAATAAAGTATGTGATGATAATAATAACAAGTTTATTTTGATTTATGTGTTCCCTGCTCCAGTTATTACTTATTTAACATGTTTATATGGCTGCCTATCTACCAAGGGACTCTGAGTGGTGTAAAGCAACGTCACAATCCGTGACATTAAAAAAAAAAAGCATAAACAAAATTTATTTATTTATTTATTGGGTCGATTTATATGCTGCCCTTTTCTGGAGACTCAGGGTGGCTTACAATGCGTTAAGCAATAGTCTTCATACTTTCGTATATACCTGCTTAGTAGGGCTTTGGGGGCCCTCCCTAAGCGGTGTTCTTTTTTATACAAAGTCAGCTTATTGCCCCCACAATCCGGGTCCTCATTTTACCTACCTCGAAAGGATGGAAGGCTGAGTCAACCTTGAGCCTGGCAAGATTCGAACTTACTTTAATTGCAGGCAGCTGGTGTTACTTAACAGTGCTTTAGTCTGCTGCGCTACCAATAGCAATTGAGGTCTCTAAAACGCCTCGGTAGTGAGGTAACAATTGTACCTGCAGGCACATCAGAGCTCCATTAACACCCTGGCCCCACCAGTGATTGGAGGCATAGCCAGATACCTTTGTGGCCTTGTGGAAGAACAGGGTCAGAGTCATCCATTTCTTGGGGGTGAGGAGAGCAGCAAGACCCCAAAACAAACTAAGCCAAATTCTGAGGCTCTTTACCAACTGGGCCTGGACTATGTCTACCCTGCCAAGTTTAATAAGATGAACAGAAGCTATCAGAGATGGGAGGTCCTACAAGTAACCGCACCCAAGGCCATGTAGGACAACTGGAATCTTGTAGTTGTTGTACCCAGAAGCTTGACTGGGAGCCAGTGCAATTCATAAAACATGGTATTAAATGAGCGTACCATGCAGAGGTGGGATTCAGCAGGTTCTAACCAGTTCTGGAGAACCGGTAGCGGAAATTTTGACTAGTTCGGAGAACCGGTAAATACCACCTCTGACTGGCTCCGCCCCCATCTATTCTCTGCCTCCCGAGTCCCAGTTGATCGGGAGGAAATGGGG